AAATAAATATACAAGATGTTCTTTAAGTACCGTCTAATATTGAAGAAATGAGTATACATATTCGTATGAACTTTATTTCACCAAATGACTTCAAATTCCAAACCCTAAAATATTAGATGGATTAGACTTAAGGAATACCTTTTATATTAGGTGGTAAATTTAGTTCCTGCGGTTTTTTTGTTTAAAAAACTCATTTATTTCGACATCAAAAGCAAAAAATACATTAATCGAAGTATTTTCCCTCGCTAGCTAAACATTTTTCCCATCTTTCGGGCAACGCATAGATTCCGCGACGATAGAACGATTGGTCTTTTGATGCAATCCATTCGTCGATCCATTTTCGCACATCCTCGTAATTTCTGAAGTGTGTATCCACCAAGCCATGCTGCATCGACCCGAACAAGTAATATTCCGAAGGAGCTAAGTCTGGTGAATACGCTGGGTGCGGGAAAACTTCCCACTCGAGCTGCATCAGTGTTTCTTTGACGGCTTTGGCAACGTGTGGTCGAGCGTTGTCGTGCAAAAGCATGACTTTACGTCGATTGCTGGCTACTGCTGGCCTTTTTTCCAACAATGCTTCATTCAGACGGTTTAATTGTGATTGATATCGATTCCCTGTGATACTTTCGTTCGGTCTCAATAGCTCATAATAAACGACGCCGTGCATATCCCACCAAATGCAAAGCATTGCTTTGTGACCCTGCATATTTCTCTTTGGTGTGGATGTCGATGGTTGGCCAGGGTCTACCCATGATTTTCTTCGTTTAGGATTATCGAAGTATATCCATTTTTCATCACCAGTCACTATGCGCCACAAAAAACTCTTCTTTTTCTGCCTGGCGAGCAGAGAAATAGAGATGTTTAAGCGATTCGCAATGGCATTTGCGGTTAATTCGTGTGGTACCCATTTTCCCTCCTTTTGAATTTTTCCCATTGCATGTAGACGTTTGGAAACAGCCATCGGAGTAACATTTAATGTTGCAGACAATTCTTGAAGCGTTTGAGTAGAGTTTTCGTCCAATAATGCCTGCAAATCGGTGTCTTCAAACTTTTTCGGTTGGCCTGAGTGTTCTTTATCATTGACATCAAAATCACCAATCTTAAATCGCTGAAACCATACTTGGCATATTCTTTTCGATGGAGCATAATTGCCATAAGCTTCGAAAAGCAATTTATGAGCTGCAGCTGCAGTTTTTTTCAAGTCAAAGTAATGAAGCAGCACATGTCGAAAAAACAACTTATCGCGTTCCATATTTAATAAAAAAAAAAAAAATAGCATTGCTCGCTTAAATGAATCTTTTCGCACTAAATTTTATTGACAAATGTCTAACCTCTAAAATGCAGCCAGTTTTAGATGTCAAAATAAATTACATCTACAACTAACGTCATCTAACTGTGAGCCGCAGGAACTAAGTTTACCACCTAATATTTGTTTATAGAAAATCATGTTTTCTCTTTGTTCAAAACGAATCTTAACAGAAACACAATATCCCGCATGCAGGAACACTTATGAGGGACCATGTTAATTTTTAATTAAAAATTTAAATTATTTAAGTTTAGATTAAAATTTAAGATTACATTAAAAATTCGGAAGTACATCTATTAGTGCTATCAACATAAGCGTAATTCGTTATATTGATATCAGGATAATATCCGCTAGAGATGACCGATACAGTATCGATATTTAAAATATCGACATTTCAATGTCAATATATCGGTATTTTGTATCGATGTTTTTGCATTAAAAATTTTCACATATCAATACACGACCCTTAAATATCGAACTCTTCGATACATCTATGATGACCGCTCGTGGCGATTACTTTTTCGATTTGACTGTCTCCTTATGACTCATCTAAAAGTTTTAACAATTAAGTATTAGTTATTAATTGTGACTCTAATTCCTTCCGAGAGGCTATGTTAGCAGATAAGATATAACCAAAGAACGAAATAAGTTGATAAGTTGATCACCTAAAATCAGTTATTATTTTTATAATCCTTTGATCAGCGATTGGCATTTATAAATATTTGATTTGGTATTCCGAATTAACGTGGCGTCTCTCATGGATTTGTTTCTGACGTTTTGTAAACATTTCGTTAACAGTTTACTTTTTCAGAATGAGGTATCTCCCGAAATTAGCATTTATAGAGTAATTATAAATTATTATTATACATCTCTCATAATGTATAAAATAATATAATTTATTTTGCAAATAAAATTTTAATAAACATTTTTTTTTAATTAGAAAATAATTTTAGCGTAATTATTTAAACATTATTATAAATACATGCCATTTACATTATTACGTTCATATAACGCATAGGTACTTTTAATCAGAACTACTTGTAAAAAGTAACGCGTTACTTGTTACCTTATTACCGTATTGGGTTAATGTTTCAATGATTTCGGAACGACGTTATTTTTCAATCGTAACTTTCCCAATCTTGCTTCCAATCCAATATTTTTATGCAATTCAAGTATCGATATTGATGACATCGATATAAGACATTCGACATACGAGGGCAGTCCGATAAGTACTTAGCCTACAAAAGAAAAACGAAAATTTTGGAAAAGTGGCGATTTATTTCTTAACATAGTCTCCTTTTAGCTCGATACTTGACTCAGCGATGCTCCAACTTCTTTAACCCATCTGAAAAATACGTTTTCTCGAAGTCTGCAAAGTAGGCCTCCGTGGCAGCGATGACCTCCTCATTCGGCCAAATTGGTCGAATTGGACTACGAACTGCTGCCCCATCCATCCGTATTCTCCAGATTTGGCCCCGTGCGACTTTTTTTTCTTTCCAAACTTGAAAAAGTCACTCGCCGGGCAGAAATTTGAGTCGAATGAGGAGGTCATCGCCCCCACGGAGGCCTTTGCAGACTTCGAGAAAACGTATTTTTCAGATGGGTTAAAGAAGTTGGAGCATCGCTAGGTCAAGTGTATCGAGCTAAAAGGAGACTATGTTGAAAAATAAATCGCCACTTTTCCAAAATTTTCGTTTTTCTTTTGTAGGCTAAGTACTTATCGAACCGACCTCGTACATACAAGACATTATACATTTTGTATATCGATATTTTCATCCACGATATGGATCGATACGACATATCGATACATTCGGGTTGCATCGCCCATCTCTAATACCCGGGATTTAGGTACCTGTGTCTTTTGGGATTATTTATATTTACGGATATTATTTTGGCAATAGAGAGGGCAAGAAAATAGTAAAGCGGAAATATTTATGAGTCCATAATACGTTTGTTGTTTGTTATAAAAAAATCAATAATTTGTAACGTTTGGAATTAGCTGTATATTCAGTTACACCGGTATCCGAGTAATACCTGATATTAGAAATTATTATCTAAAAGATCTGGGTTATTTATAACTGAAATTAACAGCACTAATATCTAGACATACGCCATTAAATAATGAATATCTAGACATACGCCATTAAATATTGAAGAGGAAGAGAGAGAGAAAAGGAGATATTAATATAATAAGTTGAATTAAAATATAAAATTTACTATACATGCAGGATATGTGTTGTACTTACGCGTATGTATTATTAACGAATTATTAATGAATTATTAATTAATTAAAGAATTCTCTTCGTCGTTACGACTAAGGTATGGTGAAAATTTGGAACTATCGACAGTATTAAGCGGTTCTCTTTAAGCTTAAAATGCGAACAATCAATACGGCTTAAAATGCGAATTTCCCTTCGAAAGAACGGAGCATCGAGTTTTTCAAGTGTCGGGCAGCCAATTAATCTCGTTCACACATCCATAAAGCGCACTCACGTCCTCTGCATATGTAATAGATTCCAATTATCGACGTTCAGCGCTCATTCATAATGCAGATCGTAATTTGGACGGGCAACGACTCTTGCTAAAATAATAACGTGCGCTGTTTGCTATTTTTAATGTTTGCTCTCGTTTGATTTCGACAAAGGCGCCTCCGATGTCAATCAGCTTTTCGCAGGTCGCACTTTGTCGCATACGCGCTTACATTTACCTCCGTTCCGTTTTCCTTTCTTTGCATCTAGCCGGCCCGAATTTATTGGGAAACAATCTCCGCGCAATCAACAATTGCATCGATAGCTCGAGTGAATCGAGAAAACGTGTGTTATTCTACCGCTACTACGATGGTCCAAGGATTCGATATTCATAGTTAAATCATATACAGGGTGTTCGTCGTTAAGCGAAACATCCGTCATATACCTGTAGTTTAGGTCAATATGAACGAAAAAGTACTGTGCTATTTTGCAAACAGCTACGCAAAACTTTAAATTATTATCTTATAAGTGCGTAATATTATTTAATATTAAGTAATATTGAGAGTTTATTCTTAGAATATTATAGGAATATTATTTTAATATTGAATATTATTCATGTAATATTCTAGGAATATTACGCACTTATAGAGTAATTATTGAAAATGGTCATGCATCCTTACAGAAAAAATTACTGAATTTGCAGTGATTACATATTGAAAAAACAGCGAAAATACAGTAGATAGTGAGCATACATCGAGCAAGTCTTTCGACAACAGAAGATTTAGAATGCGTGATTGCTGACTGCATGTCCCAGGTTTAATACTACCCTGAATCTGTATTTTTTCTTTTTCTTTTTTTCCTTTCTAATATGTTTATTTTATGATATCAATAAAAAACACATACAATCTCTTTATGTATATAATTTGAATTATATTAACCAATGATCAAGTATTGGTCAAATAATTATTGAAATACTCAGTATTTAATCATTGTAATGTTCTTTAATAATTCTCAATATTAAATTTCTGTAAGGATACGCCCACTCACCTACATACATGCATTTCTCCTTTTCCACCTCTGCATTTCCTCCGCCGTACGATCATCACATGTAGTCTGTTTGTCTTGCGCGACGCCGCTTAATTCTGTATAAACAGGATATTACAGATTTCATCGGCAGCGTCACATCGCAGCGGAGTAATGAATAAAAACATTTGTGTTACACACAGCTTCGTTGTTCTCGTGCCGCTCACTGTCTGCAAATACCGTTATCACGCGCTGGAAATCAGAGCGACGACGACGAATGGCTTTGCGCCGTCCAGTCCATCATGGGGCTCTACGTGGACGATCGGCAGAGTGCCCAGGGCTACCGTGAACGACATCGTCTCGAGGAACATTACGATGGTCCTCGAGAATCTGTTGATGAATTACGAAAACAGCCAGCTACCCACGCATGGCAAAGGTAAAGGAATGAAGGACGCGGGGAGAACACCTCCAGCATCCGATTGATAAATTTTGGTGAAATTTGAAACACGACAAATACATCGAGACTAGAGACTATTAATCTTTGATAATTTCAAAGCTTGAAGGAAGAAACTTCGAACTTGCGAATTTTAAAAAGTTCGAAGCCTTGAAGGTGTCTTTGAGAGCCGCAATTTTCGCGCTGCGAAATGTACTTGATCCTTTGAAGCACAGATTTTTCCTTTTGCTTATTTTTTGTTAAACTTGGCACCTGGGGGTTTTGAGGTCGTTGATCACGGATCTAAGGTTAAAATTGAAAAAAATTTTTATAGTCTAATATGATGGAACCAATATGGAGGATCAAAATTGCAACGAATCAACAAAATCATTTCAAATTTGGTATCTTAGAGTTTTTGATGTCGAATCTGATTACGAAATTTGAGTCGAAGTAGAAAATTTGCCAAAGTTAAAAATGGCGGACCTAATATGGCCGACTCTAATTGCAGAAATTCAGCATAAACAAGATTTTGTCTATACTTTAGATTATTATATCAATTCAATTTCTCTAATTTGTTTTCACAATATCGTATTTCATAATTTGTATTCAGAAGTTTTGAAACCATAGACACTGAGTTTTTGCATGTTTGATCCGCTATTTTGTATTCAACATTTAGAATTTTATAATTTTTCAATCACGACCCCAGATTCATAATCAGCGACCCGAAAACCGTCTACATACCACATTTGAAGAGAATTGCTAATTTGCTGCAATTTCAGTCCGCCATATTAAACCATTATTTTGGATTTTGAAAATTTTCTAATTCTGACTTCAGATTCATAATTAGCGACCTCAAAAATCTTATATACAAATTTTAACACCTAAATTTTGGAAATGTTGCTGGAAAATATATTTTCGATAGGACTATAGGACTTTTCTGCTCAGTTTCAACCGTTTTACTTGCGCACCACGGAAGCCGAGCTTAGTTTTGAACACCCTATATATTCCAAAAATTCTGGAATACTGTGATATTGACGTCTCATGAATCTCTTTCTCGCAGTTACGCGTCGAAGTTTTGATATTCATTTTTTTTCCAGGTGTGCCCACGGTGGTGAAGACCAATATTTTAATTAGAAGCATGGGTCCGGTATCCGAGCTTGATATGGTGAGGTTTAATCATTCTTAGTAACGCTAAGGTGCACCAATAAACCTACCTTTCGTAATCTACACGGTTATACAAAACAATACAGAATGTTTCAGAATTATACGTAAAGGCATGACTGGCTGAACAGAACTGACAAAGACGAGCAGAAAAGTTTTAATAAATGTAAATTTGCTATATTGATCATCATTTTGCCAATTTCATGGTAAAAGTTTCATGACAAATAAGAGCTGCTTTTATCAGAAGCGCGAAGAGCTTAAAAAATAGGAAATTTGCCTTAATAAATGTATATTCGCAAATTGTTAATCCTTATTAAATTTTCACCACAAACGAGAGCGGTGCGTGTTCCATCAGAAGTGTGAAAATTTCGCTTTTCCATCGGATTTCCTTCTCACATCACCTTAGAAAAAAGAAACTAGACGTTCAGCCGAAGTGCAAATTCAGCGGTATCTGTTGAGCTACGCAATGCGGGGGTTGGAAGCGGATCCACGCGTTCCAGTCGCGTTCCACACATAAACGCGTTTACGCAACGCGGCTGGAACGCGGCCCCGTTTCCCGCTGCTGTTCTCTCTGCGTTGGCTGGCCGTTTTCTGACCTGTACATAAATCTAACGCGAGAACCCGGGCCCTTTTCTAAATATCTTCCCATCCGCCAGGATTACTCAATGGATTGTTATTTCCGACAATCGTGGCGCGACTCACGCTTGAGCTTCCTCGGGCCGATCAAGTCGCTTAGTCTCAGTATCAAAATGCTCGAGAGGATCTGGCGTCCCGACACTTACTTCTACAATGGCAAGCATAGTTACGTGCACACCATCACCGTGCCAAACAAGTTGCTGAGGATCTCCCAGGATGGCGATATACTGTATTCCATGAGGTTCGTTCGCGCATGAATTCACGCATCTGTGTGTAACGGATCGACCGAATCTCTCTCGAGATTTCGCTGATTCCAGGCACGATTCCGTCACGGGTGTTGCCGCGCTCGCGAGTCGGACGCGGTTGTGCTTCGGTGTGATTTTCTTGAATAAAAAACATCGCTAGGAAAACATATCGTCTCTTTCATTCTTTGATATAATATTGTGATAGACGACTGTAATTCTCTTTTTTAAACATATTTTCCCGTAACGCAGGCTCACCATTAAAGCTAAGTGTCCCATGGAGCTGAGGAACTTCCCCATGGATCGACAATCTTGCCCGTTGATAATGGGAAGTTGTAAGTATCGAGCTAAGGAAATGATAACGTGAGGCGAATGTCGCTTCTCGAACAGTTGGGTTTCGCGTTACGAGAGAATTAATATTTAATAAGAAAAATTTCGAGGCTTAGTTAATAGCTTTAGAATTGAAATTAGAATTGATTATCGCTTAATCATTTTGGTCATTTATTCATCATTTACTTAGAATAATCTTTTAATTGTCGAACAATTATAACTCCGATTAATTCACAAATTATATTCTGGATCTAAATCGTCAATTATAGTTAATTTTGTGGTATTGGCCACAAATATAACAATTAAAATCAAAACTTAGCTTTAATTTCCATTGGATGGGTGGATAAGTTTTAAAGGTGTCGATTCATAGTCAGAATTGGCCATTTTTAGATCCCCTGCTTTGAAAAGCTGCAAGCGACATTCTCTTTTAAAATTCTTTACCAATTAAATCTCTAAATCATGAGAAATAACATTTATTGAAAAACTGACACTCCAAAAACAACGTTGCTTCGAAATCTGTCATCTTTTGGTTTATTTTTGAAGTAAATGTCATTTTTGGGGGCAATATTTAAGTTTGGTTTATGTAGAATCTAATTAGAAATATTAAAAAAAAATTTGTTCCGTATCTCTTTTTGTTTTTGAGAAATCATGGTAAAACTGATGAGAGACATAGTTTCGAGAAAAATGCGGTAAAGTTTCATAACAGATTTTCAACATAATAAAATGTGTGACTCGATTCTAAACTATCTAAGATTATACAGGGTGTCCAAAAAGTCTGGAAACACCTGAATAATTTCCCAGGTAAATTATTTTTGAAAAATATTAAGGTCACTCTTGTAGTAACTTTTGACGAGGAATTCAATGGTGACCTTGGATTTGACCTTGACGATGATCTTGAAGGTTATTCCAAGGTCAGCTCAATTTTTTTTAATGGAAACTCCCTTTTTTGACGTCGGCAATCGAAAGAGCGGGAAATTTTACGTCCAAAAACATTATAAGGCCATAAATCGTGGTTGACCTTGAAAGGTTTTTTAATTCATCCATTCAAAGGTTATTTAATTTTGAGGACTGGATATCTTCGAAGAACGCAGTTGATGAAAATAGCTTACTTTAGTTATTTTGTTTAATTGCAATTAGTGGTGACCTCAAACTCAACCTTGTTGGTGTCCTTCAAGGTTATTTTAAGGTCAAATTTTTTTTTCTAAAAGCCCCCTCATTTGTCGTCGGCAATTGAAAGAGCGGAAGTTTTCATACTTTTACTTTTAGCGTTATCCAGGAACAACGGCGGGGACGTAGTAAGGACTGTTTCCTTTGGGGTGCTTGCTTAACGTGACTCCCCTTGCCTCTCACGATGGGGTGCTGGATTTACGTGAGTCCCCTTGCCTCTCACGTGCATTGATAAACATTTGGTCACTGTATTTAACGCAAATACTCGAATTGTTCTCCGTTTACTTCTTGACAGTATGACATGACCTAATCGATGGTAGAAAGCACCAACAGCCTTTTTGATGATTTCAGTGAGAATGAGAACTGATTCATCAACGATCCTTTGCCGTAATTCATCTAAATTTTGGGGTTTTGTTTTGTATACCCGATCCTTTAGATAACCCCAATAGAAATAATCTAGAGGTGTTAAATCGGGTGACCTAGCTGGCCATTCAATTGTGCCTCTTCGTCCTATCCATCGATTAATAAATCGATTAATAAATACTGTATCTAAGTAAGCGCGAACGTCTCGTGCATAATGAGCTGCTGCGCCGTCCTGTTGATACCTTGTGTTATTAAAGTTGTCTCCAGCTATTTCTCTTATTGCAGGAACTATTTGATTTCGCAGCATAGCTTCATAGTTTTGGGCATTTAGGTTGCCATAAAAAAAAATGGTCCTACAATTCTATTATTTAGTATTCCAGCCCAGATATTTAATTTTTGTGGATATTGTGATTTGGCTTCTCTTGCCAAATGAGGGTTTTCATCTGCCCAATATCTACAATTATGCCTATTTAAGCTTGAGTCAAGTTGAAATGTAGCTTCTGAGAAGACTATATTTGATGGAAAGTTGGGATTTTGAACTATGCGTGCCATCATATCATCACAAAATTCAGCGCGACGATCGAAATCGTCTTCATTTAACTTGTGTATCAGTGTTACATTTCAACTNAACCGATGATTTACTTATTTCGTGCTCTTGAGCAGCTCTACGAATTGAAGTAGAATTGAAGTAGAATTGAAATCCCTTTGGGGTGCTTTTAAAATATTGTTTCTAAACTTCTTTTTTACAGCTTTATTTTCAATTTTTTTTGTTTTTCAATAATAAACATAACGTCTTATTCTTTGATTTTGAATATGTAGCTAGCATTTCAGACATAAACAAATTATAGAAGATATCCAGTCTTCAAAATTAAATAACCTTTGAATGGATGAATTAAAGAACCTTTCAAGGTCAACCACGATTTATGGCCTTATAATGTTTTTGGACGTAAAATTTCCCGCTCTTTCGATTGCCGACGTCAAAAAAGGGAGTTTCCATTAAAAAAAATTGAGCTGACCTTGGAATAACCTTCAAGATCATCGTCAAGGTCAAATCCAAGGTCACCATTGAATTCCTCGTCAAAAGTTACTACAAGAGTGACCTTAATATTTTTCAAAAATAATTTACCTGGGAAATTATTCAGGTGTTTCCAGACTTTTTGGACAGCCTGTATAATAGTGTCAAGAGAGAACGTTCTATTAGGTTGGTGCATATGAAATGTCGGATTCTTAAGTGATTGTATAAAACTGTATATCTTTCTTCAAAAGCTGTTTATTCAATCAAAGTATGCTCCANTCAGATAGATTCTCTTTATCTGTTGACGACAAGGAAATCAATCTTCTTCCACAAAATCTTGCGTGCATCGCTTTGCGTGCAACGCGTCAGGTTTAATTCCTTATATACAGGGTGTCCCATTTTTAAGTTTCCACTAGATTATCTTTTTAGGAAAGCATTTAACCCCTTGGCCTACACGATATCTGCCAATTGCGCGAGCTATAGTAAACAAGAAAATCGGTCGCGCGCCGTGCCATTCAACTGTTCAGCCGTGTACCCGAACTGGCGCAAAATGTATACCTTTTGCGCCAGTTCGGGTACACGGCTGNTTTTAAGTTTCCACTAGATTATCTTTTTAGGAAAGCATTTAACCCCTTGGCCTACACGATATCTGCCAATTGCGCGAGCTATAGTAAACAAGAAAATCGGTCGCGCGCCGTGCCATTCAACTGTTCAGCCGTGTACCCGAACTGGCGCAAAATGTATACCTTTCATGACATATATATTTTAGTGCAACGAACGGAATTGTGAAATAATAAACAATGTTTAGGTACAAAAGTATTGGATGTGGAATAACTCCATTCGCTTGTTCGAATAATACGCGGCATCTTATGCACCAATTCCTCACCACGAGTCTGACTCGTGGCTTTTGTTTATGGCACAAATTCTTTACCACGAGTCAGACTCGTGGTTTTCGCTTATGGCACAAATTTTTCACCACGAGTCAGACTCGTGGTTATAGGCCAAAGGGTTAAGAAAAAAATATTTTGAACAAAAGTTGTGTATTTTCAAGGGGGACACAAGATAATGGGAACGATTTGATCTTGGATTGTTGTTTAAAGGTCACGTGAAGCTTACCTTCAATTTATTAAATGGAATTATTTATTTTTCACTGCATATACTTATATCGAGAGCTTTTCAAAACATTATAAATAAATATTTTTTCCTCAAGTACTTTTTGAGTTATAAGACTTAAAATTTATAGAATCGCCTACATTAGCATTATCCAAGATGTACCACGTGGAGGTTGATTTTAGCCATTTGATTTATTCCAAAAATAGAAGTTTCCATTAAAAAAATGGACATCCTGTATATTAACAACTTTTTCTCCCAAATTGGCATTTAAATTTGAGACGTTTAAATATCTCTTATTCTCTTATCCTCTTCATTGAACGTCGCTGCACTTAACCCTTAGCTGACACACGGGGTTAAAAGTACCCCAGAGTGTTTTTGAACGCAAATTTTTCATAGTTGCGCGCCAAATTTGGTTCTGTGGCGTCACCTAGTATTAGTCGAGGCTTGACCCAATATTGATAAATAAAACAATTATATACATTTTTTCTCGCTGGGGTCCAAAATACCCCCTATAGCGTGTACGTTATTATTTTGACCTATATCAGCTAAGGGTTAAATATATAGCTATTTGCTGCACAACTTCTAATCCAGAGAAATTATGCTTAAAAGCAATTTTCATACTAATTTCTCAATCCAATTTCCCATACTAATAGGTGGAAACTTTCGTTCGCATTCGGTGTAAAATTTCTTAAACATCTTTCAAAAAGTTCGACATATTTGCAATATACAATGCTAGTATAGTGAAATTTTTGTTTTACAAAATACGTCGAAAAATCTGAGCACACACCTCTTTTGTTGTTCAACTGCCAATATCGTAATATTCAATATTTTTGAATTCAAGTGGCAAAACACTGTTATACAAATTTTTTTATTAGAAATCATTAAAATTCAAAAACCAATTTTTTGATCATTTTAAATGTCCAGTTTCCCCTTAAATTAATATTATACGGTGAGTCGTACCATAAACATGTACCTTATTCGTCTAAATGTTAAAAAATTAAATTAAGTAATTAAAAAATCGAGATTAAAATCGAAATCGATTGAAAATTACTGAAACGTCTCAACAACGACAGCTTTAATGACATTAACTTCAACTGCGTTTGTTTCGATAACTAAACGTTAATCTATAGTTGACAATATATCGCGGCTTTTGTTACATCACTCATTCTTGTGCTACGATCGAGTAGCGAGAAATCCCTTACATTCATTCGTTCTTTTTCTTCGGTGCATCGATCACGCGGAAATCAACGCGACGGAAAGGCAGTTGTAACGAACATCTGGAAGAAAAGAACATTTTATCCGCATGTGGTTCTCTCGCAGCTCTCGTAGCTCGATGCAACTCTCTGAGTGTATAACGAAAGTCCATTACCCTTTCCGAAATTTCCCTTTGGCGCGCGCATCACGATATCGTTCACGTTATGTCCTTACGATCGCAATAAATTCGATATGTTGCGTTACGTTTCGTTCCTCCGGTTTTACGTGCCGGATCCGCCACGTTATGTCACAGCAGCTGGCACTTACCGAAGCCTACGGTGCAACGTAATATCGAGTTTTATTATCATAAGCGGCCAGACCCTCGAGTAGAGACACTTGATTTGAACAGGACGTTATCGAGACCCGGAAGTGCGGAGATATCAGAGTTTAACCTTTAGAAGTACGGTGGGAAGTATATTTCCTTTCTTTTTTCTTCCAGATTTTTGTCGATAAAATTTTCATTGCTATATTTGGATTGTTTTTTTTATTTTTCTAGTATCTTAGGGATAGGTGAATGTAAAAAAAATCGTTAAAATACATATTTTGTTAACTGCAAAAGTGTTATAAATAACCAACTTAAGAAAATTAAGAAAAATGCCTGTTTTTTCAGAGAAAATACATCTTCCAGCGCTTTACCAAAATTTAGGTGTTAAAATTGACATATAAAGTATTTTGAGGTCGTTAATTATGAATTTGATGTCAGAATTAGAAGAATTTTCAAAATCATAAATGGCGGTCCAATGTGGCGAACTGAAATTGCAGCAAATCAAGCAATTCTCTTTAAATGTGGTATTCAATGAATCAAGAAATTTTTGGTTTTGTTTCCTTTAATCCGCTCTTTTTAGCTGCACTGTCGAATAAGTGTAATAAGTTAGAGCTAGACAAAATATACTTGTCTCTCTCTAATTTATTGCACGAATTCAACAGTGCAACTAAAAAGAACAGATCATTTGTTTCAATTGATCAACTCACTTTAAGCCCGTATCAAACTATCGACTGTGAGTGAGCAGTCAATGATTATTGGTCTCTTTTTTGTTAGATCCTTAAAATAGAGCGATTACGTTGGCGAATTACTTAACAATTGTGCAATTTTATGATTTGCGTGATTTTTATTATAAATTTTTATAAAGTCTCTCATGAAAACAATATCATATAAAAAATTATCTAGATAAGTAGCGCTATTTATCTTACCTTTTATCGAAAGTTGCACATTTCTTTCAGCAAGCTAGTGTGGCTGAGCGAAGTGAGGCTCCCGCGCTGAACATTTTTGGACCGGCGGCGAGCGTTTGAATCTCGCCGACGACATGTCCGTATGCAGTGTTCTTTTTTTATGTTTTCTTACCTTACGACATATACTGTAATCTACTGTAATTACAATTCATATTGTAATGTCTCGCAAACAAAGGCCCATTTGCACAAACCCTATTTGGATGTTGATGCTCAACATCGCAGATATCGAACGTGCTATGACTCGTTAGGAAATCGATTTTGCAGGTTGTGGCATCTTCTTGTAAGATGAATTTTTCGAATTTCCATCTCATTTAGATGAATCTAAAATCATTTAAGGCAAACACTGATTATTATTAATTATAATTAATTGGAATAATATTTACTATTGTTTCGTCAGACGCGTACACATCGGGACAATTGGTTTACGAATGGCAGGAGGGCTCATCGGTAAACTTTGTGCCCGGTATGGCATTGTCGCAGTTCGACTTGATGGGCTCGCCGTATAGAAACCTCACCTTCGTGCGCCGGGAAGGTGAGTTCTCGGTGCTGCAAGTGTCCTTCAATCTGCAACGGCACACGGGCTACTTCCTCATACAAGTGAGAGCGCACGTGCTGATAGCACAGATGATAATTCACATTTACGTGGCGAGCGATTGGCGACCACGAGAACGACTTCATCTCTTCTTTCACATTGACAGGTTTACGTACCGTGCGTGCTGATAGTCGTGCTGAGCTGGGTGTCTTTTTGGATCCATCGCGAGGCGACGAGCGACCGTGTCGGTCTGGGTGAGTGTCCTTCGGCAAATCAATTTTCATAATTCAATTAACTTATTCCTTGTGGATTTTACATCGTTGGATTCCTTATCGCGGTTTGATCGATTTCTTTTCCCTTCCTTCCCTCCCCCCCCCCCTCACACTCNCCCTCACACTCTCTTTCTCGTTCGAAAATAATTCGGGACCCTTTGAAGGACATACTTTCCCTCCCACTTATTTTTTATCAAATTTGGTATTTGGAGGTTTTTGGGGTCGGTGATCACGAATCTGAGGTCAAGATTGAAAAATTGATTAAATCTAAGATGGCGAATCTAATATGGAGGGCCGAAAGTGCAAATCAACCAAATCATTTAAAATTTGGTATTCATGAGTAATACATGAATATTTTATTTAATTTTATTTAGAAATTCAATATAAGCAAGATTTTGTCTATGCTGTAGATTATATCATTTCAATCCCTCTAATTTGTTTTCGCAATATCGCATTTCATAATTTGTACTCGGAAGCCATAAACATAATTTGTACTTTGATAGCCACAGACACAGAGTTTTTGCATGTTTAATCCACTATTTTGTATTCAACATTTCGAATTTTGTAATTTTCCAATTTCGACCATAGATTTATAATCAATGACCCGAAAACCCTCTATATACTACATTTAAAGAGAATTGCTTGCTGCAATTTTGGTCCACCAAATTGGACCACCATCTTTGATTTTGAAAATTTTCTAATTCTGAAATCAGATTCGTAATCAACGACCTCAAGAAATCCTATAATATAATATAACTCTATATATACATTTTAACACCTAAATTTTGGAAAAGTCACTGGAAAATGTATTTTCTCTGAAAAAACAAGCATTTTTCTTAGTTTGGTTATTTATAACACTTTTTGCAATTAACAAAATGTATATTTTAAAGATTTTTTTACACTCGCCTAGCCCTAAGATATTAAAAAAATAAAGAAAACAGTTCAAATATAGCAATGAAAATTTTACCGACAAAAATCTGAAAGAAAAAATGTGGGAAATATTCTTCCCACCGTGCCTCTAACAGTTAAGAGTGATGGAAGGAGAGAAGAGAAAATTACATGTATCGAAACCCGAAATATCGCGTCTCACGATACCGCATTGACGTCGTAAATCCCGCAGGTATCACCACCGTCTTGACGCTCTCGACGATAAGCCTCGATTCCCGAACAGATTTGCCGAAAGTGAGATATGCCACCGCCCTGGATTGGTTCCTCCTCATGAGCTTCGGCTACTGTATCGCCACCCTGTTGGAGTTCGCCGGTGTCCATTACTTCACAAAGGTGACGATCTCCGCGATAATCGCGATATCCCTGACCGTTTTCTCCGGAAGGGAAAGAGAGAGAGAAAGAGAGAGATTTCGTAAGGAAGGCGCGAATTTTATTTATATTACCAGGTGTATGCATAAGTTTTTTCCGGTTTTTTGGTAAAAAAAACACGTAATTTTCAAGGGAAATTAATTTTTTTTAATTCAAAATATTAGCCATCGGCTTCTATACATTTCGCCCATCTTTCAGGTAATTTATGAATACCATGCCAGAAAAACTGCTTGTCTTTTGCGGCAAACCATTCGTCGAGCCATTTTCCAACTTCCTCGAAATTGCTGAAGTGCTGCTCTGCGAGCGCGTGCCCCATTGATGCGAAGAGGTGATAGTCAGATGGCGCCAGGTCTAGGGAGTACGGCGGGTGCGGAAGGATGCCCCATCCAAACGATTTCAAGCTGTCTTTCACTGGTTTTGCTGTGTGAGACAGCGCATTGTCGTGTAACAAAATCACTTTGCCATGTCTTCTGGCCCATTCCGGTCGTCTTTCGATTAATGCGTGGTTTAAATTAATCATTTGTTGGCGATAGCGTTGTGTATTAACGGTTTCGCCGGGCTTCAAGAGTTCATAATACACAATACCGCTCTGGTCCCACCAGACACAGAGCATGGTCTTCTTGCCGAAGCGATTTGGCCTTGGTGTTGATGGACCGGCTTCGCCAGGTGAAAGCCACGATTTTTTCCGCTTCGGGTTTTCAAAATAAATCCATTTTTCGTCACCCGTCACAATTCGATACAAAAATGATTTCCTTTCGTGGCGTTGAAGCAGCATTTCACAAGTGACTTTGCGATTTTCCATTTGACGTTCATTCAAATTGTGTGGGACCCATTTACCGAGTTTATTGATCTTTTCCATTGCTCGTAAACGCCTGCTGATTGTTTCTTGTGATACATGTAGTGCTTCTGCTAATTGCCGTTGAGTTTGAGTTGGGTCATCATCCAATAACTCCTGCAATTGCTCGTCTTCGCATTTTTGTGGTCTACCAGAGCGCTCACTGTCTTTCACATTGAAATCACCATTTTTAAATTGTCGAAACCATGTCTCACATGTTCTAATCGATGGAGCGTGTTCACCATATGTTTCTACCAGCAAACGATGACTTTCAACAGCCTTTTTCTTTTGATTAAATAAGAAAAGCAATGCGTGCCGCAAATGTTCTTTTTCAGGCACAAAACTCGACATGATCACTGAACGATAAAACAAAGACGCTAGTTTTTGGCGGACTCAACTTGTGTGTGTTTGTAGTTTTAAATGTCAGACGAACAAAATGACGTATGTGTCAAATTAATACGCTGCGTACTTTTCGCTGGCGCCATCTCTTAGTTAAACCGGAAAAAACTTATGCATACACCTGGTATATATACCTCTGCTTGGGAGAATAGCTCGTACGCTCTGGAAGCTCACAGGAGACGAGACACTGACGGTTTCTCGTGTCGTTCTTACGATAGATAGATTCCCCGTATGATCTTCCGTCAAGTCGAAACTTAAACGATATGACATACTTTGGAAGTAGGGATATTAATTTTCGATAATATTGGTCAAATGTTACATCATAATTTGTATTCTCTCTGAATTTTTATTCTTTCTATTTATACTCACGTTTTAAGGCAGAAAATGAAAATAAAAAGTTATTTATTTCTAATTTAAGAAATGTAAAGAGAAAGGATATTTTCATTTTTGTAAATCAATAATACGAGAGGTATGAAAATAAAACAACGAAACATATTTTTACTATAATTTTTTTTCATGTCCGAGTGGTAAAAACATACATTTAGCTAAGAGTACAAAATGGAATTTTGTTGATTCGTTAAAATCTAATCTCCAATCTCTAGTCCGATACGGGGCTTAATGCAGGTCCATATTATTTCGTTCATTTTATCAAAAAATGAATTCAGAATATGGACCATAACATCATTTCAGATAATTTTTAGATAACATGTTTTTTTATCTAAGATGGAAATGAATATATTTTATATTTCTTTCATCTAGATAAAGATAAACATTATTTATTTATTCATCTGAATAATTATTTAGATAATTTTATCTAGATACCGGCTTGCACTATTTATCATAGACGTACACCTAATACTTATATTTAATTCTTTCAGTACGAGCGCTTTGTCCGCCGTGACACTCCCGCTGTACGAGACACCGTTCCGAAAATACACACATAGCGCGTGGTCAGTCCACGCTCGTATAAAGATTTTCCTAAGCGTTAAATAAGAACTGAGCTTAATCTAATACGTCAGTAAGATAAAATACTCTGTTATCAACTATAGATGGCGCTTGTGCATATAGGCTGTCACATGGATGCCGGATATATCCGGCGCTCGTACCGAAAGGGTTAAACAATCTTATAATTTCAATATTCCGTGGCTTTGATATTTTCAAAATTCAAATACTGAACGCCGAGATTTCAAATCTTCGAAAAATTCGAATATCGGGAGACATTAGCCGTAAACGCTAAAGCTCTTTAAATTCATTCACCTTCGCTTTGATATTCTTGTGACTTCACAGATCGGCAGCGGCGAGATTCCGTTAGACGACGAAGAGTGGGAAGAGTGGAAGGGCATTGGTAGAGAAGAGTTCGAGGATACATTACGCACGATGATCTCCTGCAGTCCACAGACCGACCATCCAGAGATCTTGGATACGAGCGCTAGAAGACGCGGCTCTCTCATGTGCGCGCTGTATAGCGTTAGTTCGACATGCTACTGATACCTTCCTATTCGTATATTGATTTGTTCCATAGAAATTGCATCCTAAGGACTGTTGCACATAGTATGGCTTAAGTCCGGAACTACAATATATGTAGTGAGCCTTTAATCCTTTGCTCTGAGCAAAAAAATATAACTTAATTTCTGATAGAAGGCATTTCCAGCGCTGTCAAAAATCGTAATAACGCTTGTCTGGCAGCGCTGGAAACTTTTTTTACTTAAAATTACGTAACAATTCTGTGCTCAGAGTAAAATACTAAAGGCTTACCATATCTACATATTGTAGATACGGGCTAATGATCTACGATAGACATAAGTCATGACATAAATCAGGCATATGTCGTAGAATATAATGTAATGTTACATAACTAAGAGTAAGTGAATAATCTGATCATTTTTAATTAAATAAAAATTGTGTTTAGATGTCATGAAAATAAATGATAAAATTGTTATGGAATTTAAAACACAATTTACAATTTTTGTAAAACGATGATTTATTTTATGTCGAAAGATTTTTTAAGCAATCTTATACAGGATGTCCCAAACTAATCTCAGTTCCCGTGATGTGTAAGTAAAACGGGTGAAACTGTATATATATTTTATGAAATAAATTTCATAAAAATCTTAAATTAATTCTTTAAATGATTATTTATTTTCGGAACAATTATAAATGATTACCTTTTATTTACTTAGGAATGAACGGATTATTTATTTTTAGTTATATAGCATGTTAAATTCTATGACATACGCCAAAGCTTGTACATTGCTTACGTTTACGTCTGTTGTAGCTCATCATGCCACATTATATGATGTAGCCCTAAAATATCACTTGTATATTTGAGAAGATCCTGAGGTAAACAATTGAGACGTTTCCTTGAGACGTCGTTCATAGCTGAATTCCTTTATTTTCTCTTCGATTTGATTGTGTCTTGCATGAAACGATTACGTTTGTAACAGAGAGAGAGAGAGAGAGAGAGAGAGAGAGAGAGAGCGTAAAAACTTAAATTATTGAGTAATAATTGCTCTTAAACAATGTTTTGTTCTTGGCAGGATGGAATCACATACGAACGAGATTCCTGTCGCTCCATCACTGTTGCCGTTTCTTCAAAACCGTCGACGATGGAACAGCAGACGCAGACCGAGCTTATTTTGCCACTGTGGCGACAGTTTCTATATTGCTTAGCGGGCGATGACGCATTCAGGTATTTAATTTATTCATGTATTACGGGCCGCTAAATTGTTTTTTTCAAAAACTTCCTCTAAAATCGAGTAAAATTTGAGAATAGATATTAGGTTGGTGTAAATGAAATGGCCGTTTTCAGTGCTTTGAATTTCCCACCCCTATCCCCTTTCCCACCCTATAGATTACTTTTCTTTCATACAGAGAACGGTGTATATATACTGTGTGAAAAGTACATGATCCACGTGTGATTTAGCGTACATAACTTTATTTCTATATTATACTGTTAGTCATAGAAGTTTGCATTAACGCCTTGATGGAAAATAGAAACATTCGTGTAATTTACTTGTACGAGTTCAAACTTGGTCATACTGCAGCCGAGACAACGCGTAACATTCATACTGCATTTGGTGAAGGTACTGTAAGTGAAAGAACGACGAGACGTTGATTTGAAAAATTTCGTTCTGGGGACACAAACCTCGACAATTTGTCTCGCGGACACGCACCTTCCATCATTGATGACGTTGTTTTGAAGGAGATTGTTGAAATAGATTCAAGGTTAACAGTCTGAAAGATTGTCAAAAGATTCGAAGTTGATCATTCAACTGCCATCCGATATTTAAACAAGTTGGGAAAAGTGAAAAAGTTGGATAAATGGGTCCCCCATGAAGTCATAGAGAGAGACAGATTGAGACGTTTGGAGATCTGCATTTCTTTGTGGTTGCGACAGAATACAGATGGAATTTTACACAGGATTGTGACTTGTGATGAAAAATGGATTTTGTACGACAACCACCGACGTTCTGCATAGTGGTTAGATGCGAATGAGGCTCCAAAATCGAATCTTCATCCCAAGAAAATGATGGTGTCTGTATGGTGGTCTAGCAAAGGTATCGTTCATTATTCATTTACCAAACAAAGTTATAAATTCTGATAAGTACTGTCAGGAAATTGCCACCATTTACCAAAAACTGTGCGCTCAACAGCATTGGTCAACAGACACGGCATGTTGCTGTTGCACGATAACGCTAAACCACACATTGCAAAACAAACCGTTCAAAAACTCGTCGAGTGAACATTGAAGTTTTTCTTCACTCTCCCTATTCTCTAGACATCTCACTAACAGATTATCATCTTTTCAAGCATCTTGGGTGCGATTTTGGCGGGCAAAAATTTCAATGAAAAAAGAAATGTGAAAATGCATTTAAGGAGTTTATCAATTCAAACTCTCCAGATTTTTTAAAAAGTGCATTAATGCATTTGAATCAGGTTGGCGGAAGTGTATTGAAATAGGTGGAAGCTATTTTGATTAGTTATGTAAGTTTTAAATTTAAAAAATACAAGTTTCAACTTTATACTTATAAACGGNCACCCTCCCTATTCTCTAGACATTTCACCAACAGATTATCATCTTTTCAAGCATCTGGATGCGTTTTTGGTGGGCAAAAATTTCAATGAAGAAAGAAGTGTGAAAAATGCATTTAAGGTGTTTATCGATTTCACGCTCTCTAGATTTTTTTAGAAAATGCATTGATGCATTTGGATCACGTTGGCAAAAATGTATTCAAGTAGGCGGAAGTTATTTTGATTAGTTATGTAAGTTTTAAATTAAAAAAATACAAGTTTCAACTTTATATTTATAAACGGCCATTTCATTTGCACCAACTTAATAGAAAACAAGTTTAAAGCAGGTTTTATCTAAAGTCCACTGCAAGTGTGCACAAAAATATACACGCAGTTTGTAATTGTTACATGTTAATATTTAAATATATTTCTTATGTAATTACACTGTTCGCGCGATATTCATGCCAATATCTACAAATTAAAAGTCATTATAAATGTAGATTTATTCGCTGCTTTTTGAAAAAGATGAGGAGTAACCAAAATAATATTCAAGAAACGAAATAAGCACATAAAGTGTTCTTGATAGTTTACGTAAAAAAAGAAAGAAATAAAAAACAAAATGACTGGGTTAAAAAAACTCGGGGACGTGTGTCGGCTCAGTTCAAAGCTACGTGAACTAACTGCAGGGTAGCGGCGACGACTCGCACTCGGTCGTTCGTTCACCGCACCCAACAAGATCATTTACAAGTTTTAGTTTTATTTTTCCCCAATAACAGTTGGTACCCGTTAATTTTTAATACATTATTTGTGTTACTTCACTTCACTATTTAACATAGTCACTTTGTTAAATTAACACAAAAATTTGAGTAGACCGTTTGAGAAAAGTGTTAAATGTAACTCAAATTTTTTTACTGTGTATATCTGGAAATTTTTCTTCCCCGAGCTGTTTATTATCTTTATCATTTAGAGGTCAGTATTAATTATTTGCACTAATAATAAATAATCATTAATAATTCTATGAACATATTAGTTTTTATTATTTCGATTATTTATATGAATTAACAATGTATATTGAACTACAATTAATATTAAAAATTGCAGGCGTCGCCGACAGCGTGAGGCAGCCAATAGTTATAGAAAATACGGCGATCGGCTGTCGAGGCACATAAACAGCGTGTCTTACATCGATAGGGTGGCTCGTGTAGTTTTCCCCGCGTCTTTCGGCCTACTCAATATCTGTTACTGGGTAGTTTACGTCACCTACCAAGAAGAATTTAAGTGGCAGGACCCGCCGATCGGATCGATTTCTCATTAACGAATTTTCCATTTGATAATAAAGCGAATGATATAATGTGAATAAGAAAGAATTAGAAAGCATATATGGGCATATTCATCGCCTATTTTGAACTAATTTACATAAAACGATATTCAGAATTGATTTTTTTTTCAAATCATTATGATGACACATATTAGACAGTTTGTTTCAAAACTCTTTATTCTTCCACGGTAGTATTCACTCTATGTTACTAAATATTTCAATTTCTTTCTTATCTACACTTCTGTGAAATCAAATTCTTTTATTTGAAATTTCTGCATTTAAATCTGTATATTTGTTTTTAGAAACGGTTTGAATATATTTTCGATGCAGTTCGAAATACAAACTATGGTCCAATGTAAGAATTCGCTTGTGAAAAAAAAGTTCTTCCTTGGATTCTCTCTTGACTGCATCCTCTACTACAACGAAAAAAATGTCCAAATCATTTAAAAATCGAATGTACAATTATATTTTTAATTTCAAGAATCCTGGTCGATCTATTGAAAAATAAAATTTTATTTGATCTGTCGTTAGGTCTTATTATTTGAAAATAAAACATCACATAATCTCCTATTGAGGGGTATTATTTAAAAATAGAAAAATTCACAATGGGCCATTGAATACTATTTGAAAATGAGAGCCCTATTTTATTTTTAAAAATATTATTCCCAGAAATTAGAGAAAAATTTATCTTGAAAACGAAATATACGAAAAATTCAATAGCTGTGACTAATATTTTTAAANTAGTAAATTTTCAAATAAAAATTTTAATAAATTTTATAATTTAAAATTAAATTATAATTCAAAAATTTTGATAGCAAGGAAATTAAGTAAAAATTTCTTATGATTAGTATAAATTTTTCATAATTTTTGTTTTTAAAGTAACTTATCGTTTGCTTCTGAATTTATTATAATCTATAATTAAAACTTTAAAAACGATAATGGCGATACTAAATTTATAATATCCAATAAATAAATACAAAACATCGCGGACATGCAAATTCACAATATATCCTAAAAATATACGCACAACAACGTAAGCAAGAAACATTAAATCAATCTTTTAAAACATTGATTTTATGTAGATTTTATAAACATTTTGACATAATATTTTATAAATGTTTTTAAGTTATTACTTGATAATATTATATTCTTAAATATTAGAATTATAGCGTAGAAACATTATTTCTAATGTTTCGGTCAAATATTATTAACAGTGACGTATACAACATTAAGAACTACATATTTGAGCTGCAACGTTGCCTCCCTCCGAGCCGCCATTGAGGCAATATTTACAGCCATAGACCATGACCATTTGAAGACAGCATGCTCGCGTTTTTGAGCCAGGATCGAGATGATGATCGAGACTCAGGGTGGCTATATTGAATAAGAAGTTTCAGGAAGGATCCTTTAAGTGAAAGTTGAAAGCATATTTTTATATCTTTCATATTAGCTTTAATAAACGACTTTTTCACAAAACATTTTTTTGTGCGGATTCTAACGCCGCATTCTGTATAGTCGATTTATTGACTATTAATTAACTATAAATTGACATTTAGTCTGATTTTAAAGTCAATTTTAGACTTCTGACAACTTACACGTTAACTTACAGTTAATTAACAGTCGACTTAGTGTTGTGTGGTTAGTAATGTATCACTGGCAAAAATTATCGCTGGCAACTTATTACAGCCAAAAATATTTTTTTGTAAGAATTATCATATGTCTAGAAACTTATTTTTTTGTAATAAAAGGATTGTACGTCTTAATTAACAAAATTTGGACAAACAAAAAATTCGGAAACAAAGATTTTCACGAGGTTCATAGTTATTAATAAGTCTTATTTATTGATATGAGCTTAGTTGTGAAAGTTTAATAAAAAGTAACAAATTAGTTTGTAATTTTGCAAACACACATATTTAACACTCTTTGTCCTAAACCCGAGTTTAGGTCGGGGTAGTGCGCAGACGACAACTGCCATGCAATACTTTTCTGCTGCTTTTAAAGTGTTTTTTCACACTTAAAATTGATATATCGGTTACTAAGTTACAGCAACATACATCAACAATGAACATTTTTTAATAGACATCAAAATTGATCCCATTAATAAATTATCTTTAAGGCCAAGGCTTCAAAGTGTTAATGTATGAGTTCGTGAAAGAAATGCGATATCATTGGACAGCTTCCGTCACCTATTACTTAGTAACTATAGTAATTTCAACATTTTTATCTCGAAATTTTCAGTTCTACATAGGCTTCACTGTAAAACTATATTGAATAAGCTATTCAATATTATAGAAGTAGGCAATAATTTTTTAATATTCTGTATATATATTTCACACATAAATGTTGCGTGCGTGCGTGAGCGTGTATGCGTGCGCGTGTATATGTATATATGTGTAAATTAAATTATTTATTTTATAGGTTTTGATGCGTCTTCTGTTTAATAAGAGTGTCGTTCTTACGATTACTATCTGCGTGACAATTTTAAAATTATCAACGTAACATGATTATGACTTTCACAAATTTAACTATTTGGAAATAAATAATTAAGTCAATCTTACAATTTTTACAAACGATGTCGTTTCTTCATATTATATTAACATTTCCGTCATGTTAATTAAATAGAATTTTTATAAAAAATAAGATTTTCATGAATCTAACATTCCTTTTTAATGTTTGTAGTTTTTTCTTTCGGTGTAAGAAGTTTTTCCAGTAATTTTTACTACGAAGTATCAGACACGTGTAACATAAGTCCATATCCCGCCGATAGGCGCCGTCAGGAAACTGCCAGGCTGCATCCTCAAGGGTTCTTGGGTCTTCGGCGATATTTTTAAGGTATATTTTCTTATGAAAGTCGCCAAACAAGCTTTCACCTGCAACAATGCCATTCTCATGCCCACGCAGGCCCTCGGACCTTCGCCGAACGGTAAGAAAGTGAATTTTTTGATCTCCGCCCTTCTATTCGCGGCAAATCGCTCAGGATCGTAGACATCTGCGTCGGGCCAGTATTTCGGATCTTTGTGTAATCCGAAGACAGAGATGATTATTTTCGTTCCCGGTTTTACACGACAGCGCAGCCCATCCGAACCCTTCAGCTCGAACTCTTCGGTGCAGACTTTACCCATAGCACCTCCCGAGGTGTAATGTCTCTGAGACTCGCTGATCACCTGATCCATATACGTCAACTCTTTCAACGACTCATAGGTCAATTGGCCATCGTACCTGGCGAGCACTGTCTCCACTTCGTCGCGAAGCCGCTGCTGTATGAGTGGATGTTGGGCAAGCTGATAAGCGACGAAGCTCAAGGTAACACTGGACGTATCATAACCGTCCGCGAAAAAGGAGAAAGCGTGGGCGGTGAGGAGACCTTCATCGATCTGCTCGCCCTCGGTCTTCTCCAGGTCCACCATCAACTGTAAGAAGTCGTTTCTATGCTCGATCTTCTGGCGTCTGATGCGCAGCACCTCTTTCACGGTGCTGCGGAAGAAATGGTCCACGTGCTTGGGCACGAACGGCATCCGCAAGATATTATTAAGCTCGGGCAGGAAGAAGTTCAAAGTTTGCACGATCTTACCGAGAGGCGTTGGATCGAACACCAGTTTGCCCATCATGACAAACGACGCCGAGTGACGTTCGTCGTCGAAGCAGAAACCTTCAATACCAAGGCTTGCATTGGCAACTACCTCACCAGTATACTTGGAGAACAGATCCCTCATCTCAAGCTCCATCACACCGTTGTTTGCGCTCAGCTCAAACTTTCTTTCCAGGTAGTCGTCGAACTTCCTGCAAACTTGTTCGACACAACTGTACAGCATCCTTATGCGTTTCCCGGTAAACGCGTGAGTCAGACGCTTCCGGAACATGAGCCACATTTCACCGGAAGCGAAGAAGGGATTCACTACAAAGAGAGGATCGAGATCAGGGTCCACTTTCAATAGATTGTCGGAGAAACTGGCGAAATTCGACTGCATCACCGTTTTAACCAGTTCTGGGTCACGTATCACCAGTGCGGGATCCGTTTTGTCGTAAAAACCGACCATGCTATGTTCTGGATGTCTCTCGTAGATCTGTCGGCCGAAATCGGCCAGACTCATCTTCAAAAACATCACCGGCCACATATGCCCGAGCCCGGGAAGAAGGCCCTTCGCACATGGTATGCCTTGATTGTGCCAGTAACTATAATTTCTGGTTAAATAAAAGTAATACGCTATGACGAGCCCTCCGAGAAATAAGGAGAGAAGTACGAAGTCCATCACGGTCTACTTTTTCGACGAAGCACACCGCGATTAATCTGCTTCTACAAACTTATCAGCGTCGACTGTTGAAAAAATATTTTGCGTGTCTCTTAAAAATAAGAATTACCTGAAGTATTTTTATCGTATATCATGTTATCGCATGATGTTATCATCTTATTTTCGGCTTGTGTAAATATTGCGATAATTTCTAAATAGAAAGTGAACTTCATATCACGAACAATCTATTTACGAGTAGATTTGTGTAATACTTCTATCAAAATTACTTGACCTTTCAGTCTTTTTTATTTAGAATTTCTATTTATTACATTTTCTTTTTATTGCATTATCCTTAAAGTATTGTTAATGATTTTTCTTGAAATCTTTTTAAGGGGCCGTTCAAAAATTACGTCACGCCAAATTTAAATGTTTTTCCCTTTTTTTTCGTCACAGTTCGTATAAAATATTTAGACTTCTTTCCGTTATTATGTGACATTTGATATTACCTCCCCCTTTCTCTTGCCTTCACATAACAAAAATAACAATAAGGAAAAATAACTTATAATCATATTGTTAGTAATAGATATTAGACTGAGAGGCCACACGACGCTCCGATACAGGGTATCGTGCCTCCAATGACGGTCTCGCACGCTTCGGCCGTCAGCGACCCACGTTGCTGACAAATGTCGGCTGTCATCCGATGCGACCGACCCCTGCGTTCGCGACCCACTATGCCGACGGTCGGTAGTGGCCCGATGCATGGGATCCCCCCAACGACCCACATGGCTAACGATGGATACCGGGCTGATCCGAACTTCTCCCTGGACTTCCAGTTCGCGAAGAAAGCTTCCCCGCCGTCGGCGACTCTCCTCAACCTGAAGATAGATATTGAAGAGTCGGATTACCTCCGTGCCTAGAAACGAGTTGCCAAGCTCCGCGACAACAGCGAGTCGCAGCGAACGATGTGATACGCACGGCAGTTTTTACTCTACTGATGACCTTCGATCGGGCCATACGACCAATCCCGGCCTTTCTCACAGTTTTCGAGCGTGAAGAGCTATCGAGCCACATCGTGGTGCTCCGCGGATATATCTTTCGGTCCTCCGCTCGAAAGAACTTGTGGCGTTCAAGGTCACAACTGCGAAATACCGTTCCGACACTAAGGCCAATTCACCACCAAGGACGACCTTACAATACCCAAACACACAGAAACCAAATGGTACGCTACGCGTAGTACCTCTGCTCTATCGAGCCAAGTATTATGGAAGGCGAAAGCAGTCTCTCAAGTGCTCCCATGCAGCACTCCTATATACCGAGTTCGCTCGCTGGTGAATTACCCAGGCGGCGCATTGCCCCGCGGCATGCTCCGCTAGTTCCGACGGCGAGAGTCCGGCGCGCGCGAACTACCTCGCCTGATGCGCCGCAACCGGCGGTCGAGCCTCTCCCTCGATCTGCAACAGTAACAGAAATTTTAATAATTTTCATAGTATCGTTTCGTAAATATTTAATCATAAACTTGTATATCTAAACATGTAGGAATTTTCTAATAAAATAAATTTCCGCTAATATGACATATTTATATATTAGTAATACAAATAAGTTTCCGCCGTTTTTCAAAAGATGGCTTCACCGACAAGATTACTTTGAAATCGTCAGATGTAAAACATCACATAGAAAGTTTGGACACCTGGCAACAACATAATCTTAAAATACTATTGACTTTGTATTGGCAGTATACATTTTTTTCGTTCGAAAATGTCGAGTTTTGTACCGAATAAGCGTCATTTACGGGAAGTTTTGATTTATTTCTTTCATTTAAAGAAATCTGCTGCTGAGGCGCATCGGTCGCTTGTAGAAGTTTACGGTGATGCTGCTTTAAGTGAGAGAAGTTGTCGTGAGTGGTTTTAAAAGTTTAAAAACGGCGAGTTTGACGTGGAAGATAAAGAAGGAAGGCCAGTAAAGTTTGAAGACGCTGAGTTAGAGGCATTATTGGACCAAGACTCATGCCAAACTCAAGAGCAGCTCGCAGAAAACTTGGGAGTGACTCAACAAGCGATTTCAAACCGTCTCAAGACCATTGGTATGGTACAAAAGCAAGGAAATTGGGTTCCGCATGAACTCAAACCCAGAGACGTCGAACGCCGTCTTTTCACGTGCGAACAACTTCTCCAAAGACAAAATCGGAAGGGTTTTTTGCATCGAATAGTGACGGGGGATGAAAAGTGGATCCACTACGACAACCCAAAGCGTAGGAAATCGTGGGGTAAGTCCGGCCATGCACCAACTTCAACGGCCAAACCGAATATTCATGGCAAGAAACTAATGTTGTGCATCTGGTGGTATCAGCTCGGAGTAATCAATTACGAGCTACTCCAGCCTAACGAAACTATCACTGGAGAATGTTATCAACAGCAACTGATGCAATTAAGCCAAGAATTGAAGCTTAAACGCCCCCAATATGCCAAAAGACATGACAAAGTGATTTTTCAGCACGACAATGCTCGGCCACATGTTGCAAAAGTCGTCAAAGATACTTTGGAAGCTTTACAATGGAATGTCTTACCCCACCCGCCGTATTCACCAGACATTGCTCCTTCGGACTACCACTTGTTCCGGTCGATGGCTCACGCCCTGGTCGAGCAGCACTTCACTTCTTACGAAGAAGCCAAAAATTGGGTCGATTCATGGGTAGCCTCAAAAGATGAAGAGTTTTTTCGACGTGGCATCCGAATGCTGCCAGAAAGATGGCAAAAAGTAGTAGCTAGTGACGGACAATATTTTGAATAAAATGTAACGTATATTTTTTTTTAAATAAATTGATCATTTTTATAAAAAAAACGGCGGAAACTTATTTGTATTACCAACAGGATAGAAGTTTAGAAAACAACCGTAATATCAAAGACTAATATATAGATATTATAGACAAATTTCAGAATTATCGACCGTTTTATTTTGAAAATATAATAGTGGGTAATTTATAATTTAATGTGATATTCTCTCGAGATATATATCAACATATTTAAACACTCACACCTCTTTTATTTATGTATCTCTATTAGATTCAACTGATGCATAAATATAAATATAATATATTATTAATAAGGACATAAACATAATATTAATAAGGAAAATAAAAATTATAATATTTATATATTTGTAATATTGTATATGTATATATTTACTTCAGCTTTGTCTCAAATTAACATTTATTATTTGAGTATTGAAATAAATATCTAGAAGTGTAATTTTACTTAATAAGTAGTAAAATTATGGGAGGTTTCCTTTTGATGCGCTACTGGGAATATGGCACTTAAAGATAAAACTTTTTTAATTACATTCTATTGAATATTTAATTGAATCAGATTATATCGTATTTGAAAAATACTCTTATCACTGATGAGATTTGAAATCAAAACCTCTGAATCTTGAATCACGATATTATGCTGTAAATATATTTTTATTATCTATGTATATATTATAGCTAACACAGTTATATAATTTTTAAAAAATATAACTTAATATTACAAAAAATAAACAACACAGATTAAAAGGTGGATTTTCCGTATAGAAGATATCGTATTTATTTGTACCTAACACCAACTAAACTACAAAATTCTGATATAAAATCCTGACATGTTTGATATGAATATTAAATGATATTTCTCTTTCAACGTATTTTTACATAAAAATTTTTATTGCAGACAATTATTTTTTTGCTACTGAAATTAGAAAATCTTAAATATCTGATATCAACGAGTAGTAAACAAAGTTCTTGTAATTAGAGTTGTCAAATACCTACAAGCCGCTTTCCGGTGATGGCAAGAAACTTCCTTGGATTATCTTCAAGGGTAATATAATTATTTATTATGTCAAAAAGTTATTGTGTATTACAGATTTGTGTATTATAAACTGTTAAGATTATTTGGTTTAATAGTTCGGAAACATCACTTCATTTATATTCTACCGCTAACTCGTTTGACGTTTTAATTCTTAAAAAATCTTATAATATCGCAAAATACACGTGTTTCTTTATTAATACAATATATGCAAACTTATTTTCTTGAAGTATTTTCTATATATTTTAAAACGTATATTTTGCTGTTGGAATTAGGAAATATCTGATATCGACGAATCATAAAGAAAAATCTCGCAATTAGAGTTGTCGAATGAATACCCATAGACCGCCCTCCGGTGTTGGCAAGAAAGTTCCGGGGATCATCTTCAAGGGTATCTGTGTCCTGGGTGAAAGCTCCAGACTGTACTTTTTTAAGAGCACAGCAAGACACGCTTTCATTTGCAATAGAGCCATCCTCATCCCGACGCAGATCCGAGGTCCTTCGCCGAAGGGTAAAAAGGTGAATCTCTCGATATTGTGTTTCCTGTCCGGGCTGAATCTTTCAGGATCAAATATTTCGGGCTTGTCCCAATACCGAGGATCTTCTTGCAGTGCGATAACGGGTACCATAATTGTCATGCCGGGTTCTACAGAGCAAACGAGACCATCGGATCCTTTCAGCTCGCATTTCGCCGTACAAAGTTTAAACAGCACTTCCCCCATAGGCATAATTCTCTGCGACTCGTTTATCACTTGATCCATGTACGTCATTTCCTTCAAGGCCTCGTACGTGAGAACGCCGTCGTATTTAGAGAGTACAGACACCACCTCTTTACGTAACTTCTGCTGCACTTCCGGATGAGTGGCTAATTGAAAGCCAATGAAACTCAAAGCTCTGCTGGAGGTGTCATAGCCGTCGATTATAAACGATGTGGCATGAGACGCGAGCACTCCTATGTCAAACTTGTCGCCCTCCATTCGTTCCAGTTCGACCATCAACTGGAGAAAATCATTCCTGGATATATCTTCCGTTCTCCTTTTCTGCATGACATCCGAAACCAGTTTTCGGAAGAAACGATCGACTTCTTTCGGAATGAAACTCATCCTGAAAATTCTGTTCAAACCAGGAAAAAGTGTAATGATGGTGAACAAAATCGCGTTTCGAGTAGATGGCTCTAAAACTTTCTTGGCGATATTTCTGAAGGACGCGCTGCTCTCTTCCTTGTCGAAACAGTGTCCGTCTACGCCGAAACCCGCGCTCGCCACCACCTGCGCGGTATATCTGGAGAACAAGTCCTGTAGCTCAAATTCCGCTCTCTCCATTTTATCCAATTTCCTGTCCACGAAGCTCTCGAATATTACGCATACCGATTTAACACTCTCCAACAATACCTTCAGTCGCATGCTGGAGAACGCATAGGTCAAACGTTTCCTTCCGCTCATCCATTTCTCCCCAGTCGTCAAGAAAGGATTATTCGCCACGAGAGGATTCAAATCCGGATCGATATGAATTGCATTCTCTTGGAAGCTCGCAAAATTAGTCTGCAACACTGTCTTCACTAATTCCGGTTCGATAACCATCAAGGCTGGCGACGAAAAATTATAGAAACCGACCATGCTGGAATTCTTGTTTTCCTTGTACATCTGACGAAAGCGATCGGCGTATGAAATCTTGAAGCACACTACCGATAACATATGACCTACGCCAGGCAGAGCTCCAGACGCGCATGGAACACCTCGCTTTTGCCAGTATTTAAAATTTCTTGTTAAAAAAATATACAGGGCAACAAACATTCCGGCAACTAAAGTCCAAAATACGATGGCCATCTTGCTGCTGTCAAGTAACAAATAGCACTTTAATTCGAAAATCAGTCCGACGTATGGTACTCTGATGTTGACGACGTTTCAGTCGCGACTGCTGAGGACTCGGAGAACAGAACTGCTACATTGACACAGATTAGCCTTTATTAGCAAATAAACGTGCAAACACTGCATTAAACAGAATTCTCTCGACGATTTTCAAATGGATACAAAACATGGACATTTCATTGAGAAATAAGAGCTAAACGTTGTTTTGCATTGTATTTTTTTATATTGTGTATTATATATTAATAAATTAATGAAATATTATCCCTTCTAATAAAACTTCTCATAAAAAAATTCTTAGACAACCTATATCTATATCTATATATAATCTTTAGAACAAAACTGTATGCAATAAATTTTAAGGTTGCTTTTTACACGCAGATAATACATAAAGTTTATACGATATCCTATTAAAAATATAAATATTTTCGCGTGCACGTGAACCTGTAACCCAGATAGCGTGGGAATATTCCATGCACAATTACAGATATACATTCATTACGAATATTTGTATATTCATAGAATGTACTAAACATTGTTATATGTTCATAATATGTTCATAATTATTCGAATAACACTACTATAAATGTTCTATGAATGTGTATAGAATATTTCATCGAATGTTGTTAATAGGGAGCTTATGGAATTAAAAAATTCAGGAAAGAAGTCTCACGCGCGCAAATCACAGTTTCGAATTAGAAGTACGTGTGTCATAATGTACATACCTCTACAGGATTATTTTTCAGTTAAATCAATATATTCACACGCATAAATCAATATATTACACATGCGCAATAAATTAAATTTGCCAATATTCTAAGAATGTTCATTTCTACTATAAATATATATAAATATCGTATTATATAGAAATATATATAAATCCCCCTGCACACAATATTATACGTATATTCATAAATATTTAATTATAAATATTTAATTCAAATATTCTGAAATTAAAAACTGTAATCGTATTTCATAAAAATATTCCCGGGAAAAAATTTTCCATGTATTGCTTGAATTAATTCTCGCTATTCTTTGCTGCAAAAACTCATATTTATTTAAACATTTAATTGAAAGTTAATTAAAAGAACGGTACATTATATCTTATTCAAAGTATTGTCTTTCGGAAACTATAACCTATTCTCACTTTTCGGGTAACACATGGATTCCGCGGTAGAAAAATTCAGGTTCTTTTGAGGCGATCCAGTCATCGAGCCATTTTTTGACATCTTCGAGAGAATTGAAGTGCTGCTCGGAAATGCCATACTGCATCTACCGAAACAAATGGTAATCTAAAGGAGCATCGTCTAGTGAATAGAGCTGGCGGGGTAAAACGTCCCATCCAAATGCTTCCAAGATTTCCTTCATTGGTGTTGCAACATGTAGTCTAACATTGTCATAGAGAAGAATAATTTTGTCATGTCTTTTGGCGTATTGCGAGCGTTTTTCTTTGAGTGTTCGATACAAATTAAGTAATTGCATACAGGCGCGCGCGCGCGTGTGTGTGTGTGTGTGTGTGTGTGTGTGTGATATAATTCGATGAAGTTCTTCAGACCCACGTATATCATTATATCTTATTATTGAAAAGGAAAATTATTTCTGTTTGTCTAATAAAACAACATGACTTAATTTATGTAAAATTATTAATTCAAAGAATTATTGATATTATTGATGATTAAATCTATTTTATGTGTGTGAAGCAAACACATGAGTTTCAACTCGACATATCTCATTTATCACATAATACGAGATGTAGATCACATACATTCCGATTGGATAATAGCCAGCAATTGTATCATCAAGCGCACAATTCTCTCTCTTCTATAGGATGGCATATAAAAAGAAATAAGCCAATGTCAATGTCAATTAGATCAAAAGGATTTCAATTAATAATAAATTTCATTGGTCACGAATATTATATAACAAAAAAGAACGGATATTTTATAGAAATGGATTTATTAACCCCTTAACCTACGATTTAGATTCGAAGATGTTGGGCCGAAATCGTATACAAGCTCGCGCAGCGTTCGGGTCATTCGCACGACTTGTGTAACACGCTGATCGGGCCAATCGTAAACATGACGGGCAATCTAAATCAAGACCGTCAAAACGTTGTACAGTTGTCACAAACGTTGTACAGTTGTTACAAACATAAAAAACGTAAAGAAACAACATGGGAGTGTAAAAAGTGTAAAGTTCCGTTACATGTACCGGAATGCTTTGAACTATATCATACCGTTACAGATTACTAATTTTGTATTTTGGATTTTTGTATAAATAAACATTTTGTAATAAACAATTTGTAATAAACAATTATTGCATCAGGCTGTAATTGCATATCAAATATTTCACGTAATATTCACTTCTGGCCCGACCATCGTACGCGGGCTATGCCCGTAATATTCACTTCTGGCCCGACCATCGTACGCGGGCTATGCCCGTAATATTTACGTTTGGCCCGACCATCGTACGCGGGCTCTGCCCGTCATTGTAGGTTAAGGGGTTAAAGGCGGATATTATATAACAAAAAAGAACGAGCGAAACATAAAGAAATTATTTTCTCCAATTAATGGTGGAATTGGAGCGTATGGAAGGTGATAATTTCAACATAGATGTCTTAGCGTCTCATGCGGATCTTCATCGACGATTACGAGACTTCTAGTTTCATGATGAGCTTCGTTGGCTTTCACTTAGCTACTTATCCCGAATTACAGAAGAAATTACGAGAAGAGATCATTTCCGTGCTCCCGAATATGACGGCAAGTTTACCTACGCTGAAAGAAATGACTTATATGGACCAGGTCTTGAACGAATTTTACTTAACAGAGAATTTTATTCGTGGCGGTGGTCTTAATCAAGTCTTATACAGAATCGACTGAGTTGGAAGGGTCCGACGGACTCACCTATCACATTGAACGTGGAATGAACATCATGATACCCGTCCATATTCTGTACGAAGATCCTCGCCACGGAGAAGCCGAATGTACGAGCCGGAAAGATTAAACTCGGAAAATAAGCACAGTATCAAGAAGTTCACTTTACTTCCCTTCAGTGAGAGAACGCGAACCTGCATTGGAATGACAATGGTTCTGTTGCAGATAAAAGCGGGTCTAGATATGTTTCTGAGAAAATACAGATTGGAACTGTCCTCCAAAACAGAAGTACCTTTAAAGATGGTACCTACAATTCTGTTACCGAAAGGAGGTTTTTATCCGACGACTTTAACTGCGAAAAATTTTTCAATCCTTTCTAACGAGTTACAATAATTTACTCCGTTATCTGCTGAAGGTAACAGATTACACAGATAACAGATAACATTAGATTGATATCTCTATTCTTGTTATCACGCCAATTATTTATTTCCTAAGATTTTACAATTACAGCTATGTCTGTATAATACTTCAATAGTGTTTATTACGCACAATTTTGCGTAGTAAGATATCGGTCGTACCTTACGCAACAATATTTATCTGTGAAAACAAGCAAACAGTTCATGCTGCTTATAACATGCATACAAGTGTTATTTTCGTAAACATCAATTTCACATAATACCTTAAATATTACTTGCTTGTTACATAACATAAATATCGTTGTAAATAAAAATAACAATATATATGTACTATATTTTCTTAAGTCAGTTATTTATACACCGGACGTTACTCTTTTTGATTACCATTTGTTTCGGTCGATTCAGCATGGCTCTTCTGAGCAACATTTAAGTTCACTCGAAAATGTCAAAAAATGGTTCGATGATTGGATCGCCTCGAAAGAACTGAATTTTTCTGCCGCGGAATTCATGTGTTATCTAAAAAGTGAGAAAAGGTTGTAGATTCCCAAGGATAATGCTTTGAATAAGATATAATGTACCGTTCTTTTATAATAAACATGAATTTTTGTAACAAATCAGTGAGAATTAATTCAAGCACCCAATAATAACCCCAAATTTTGCGCGGGCACTTGTAAAAGGGTAAGACTTTTGTCTATAAAACCAAGTTTATAAATATGTGACTGCTATCGAACTTATTTTTAAATATCTTGTATATTAACCCATTTTCGCAACAGTACTTCCCCTTGAAAAGTATATTGATATGTCGAGAATAACCTTTGATTTATCGAAGAAAAACGAACGATAGAAAACATCGATAATTCGTGAACATATGTCTATCCACGCAGTCACCGTAAATTTCATTTCGACGTAATATAAATGTCTGTCCCATTTATGACCAGTAAAAATAAATAATGTCTTATGGTTCAGAGAACAAATTGATAAGAAAAGCAACATTGTCAGCTTATGCTGTGGTACAAAGAGAAGGGGTCCACATATATAAAGATTTATTTTCCTCATAGAGTCAGTTCATATCGACTGTTCGAAGAATATAAGTGGTATATAATTTTCCATAAGACGCGGCCACCATGATGGTGGTTTTATTATTCACCTTTGCCCTTGGAAGTATCGTGGCGGCATATATTTATCTAACCAGAAATTATAACTATTGGCGTGACCGTAACATTCTGTGCGCGAAGGGCACACTTCCAGGATTCGGGCATACATTGCCGTTGCTTGTCATGCGAACAACTCTGGTTGATCTCGTTCAACGGATCTGTGACCCTTATCCAGATCGCAGTATGGTAGGTTTCTACCATCAGACGACGCCTGCGTTGGTGATTCGCGAGCCGGAACTGGTAAAGACTGTCCTGCAGACCAACTTCGCAAGTTTTTCCAGGAACGTATGGAAAATCGATTCTCATCTGGACCGTCTGAACGCTGCGAACCCTTTTTTCTGCTATGGCGATACATGGTTGATAGGCAGGAAACACATAGGTCTCGCGTCTACTACCAGAAACATAAAAATCTTTTTGAACTGCATCCAGCAGGTGTGCAACAATCTCGAAAATTATCTGAACGACAAACTAAAGGCAAATAATAACACGATAGAACTCAAGATAAATAATCTGGCTTACAGATATAGTTCTTCAGTGGCGGCTTATAGTGGTTCCAGTTTCCAGTTTCAGTGTGGAAAATGTGTGCTTCAAAGACGAATCTGACGTGACGTCAGTAACCAAAATAACCGAGTTGATGTTCGGGACGAGTTTCATCAGGCTGTTAAGGCAGACTTTTTGTTTGTACTTTCATTATTTTAAACGAATACTAGGAATATCATAAGTATCCGCAAAGATTCAGGACTTCTTTTTTGGCTTCATAAAAGAGATAGTGCACATTAGGCAACAGGAGAAGAATACGCGTAAATTTAACTTTTTGCAACTAATGTTGGATCTGAAAGAAACCAAGGAAATTGACTACAATGTGGTTACTTCACTTGTTTTCACTCTCTACATGAATATGCATGATACGTCGACTGTGACACTAGGCCTCGCAGCTTATCAAATTGCACGTCATCCGCACGTTCAACAAAAACTCCGCGACGAGGTGAGGACTGTTCTTGCAAAGTATGACGGCCAATTGTCCTACTACGCGCTGAAGGAAATGACGTACATAGATCAAGTGATCAACGAATCGCAAAGACTCTATCCTATTCTGCCCTGCATGGGCAAAATATGCACTGAGGAGTTCGAACTGAAGAGTTCGGATGAACTCAGCTGCTGCATCAATCCCGGAACAGAGATCTTCGTGAATGTCTATGAAATACACAGAAACTCGAATTATTGGCACAATCCGGATGTTTTTGATCCCAATCGTTTCTCCTCGGATAGAAAGACGGAGATCGAGAAGTATACTTTTTTGCCGTTCGGTGAGGGTCCGAAGACCTGCGTGGCAATGAGAATGGCTATGTTGCAGACAAAGGCTAATCTAGCCATGATAATGAAGAATTATACTCTGGAGTTATCGCTTAAGCCGCCGAAGGAGCCTCTCAAGTTTATGCAAGGCAATATTGTGCTACAACCTATTGGTGGTTTATGGGTTCATCTTAAGCCTCTTTAATTATTTGTATAAGGGAACATTTAGAAAATAATGAATAAGTAATATTTAAATATTGTAAAATATCGCAGATAAGTTTAGATAGATGGGCATTTTCTAAATGACGAAAATTGCAAAGTGATGTAAAATTATTAAAATTATTCTAATAGTTGAGATATACTCGTATGTTTAGTGTTATATCGCAACATGAACTGTAACTGTTTTAGCGCCACGCAGCGCGATCGCGCTGTCCGCGTACTGTGGTGAAATGTGCCGCGATGTTTGGTCATGATCATCAATTCGCAACAATCTCGGTTCCAAATTTCGCAAACTTTTGAGTGTTTAGTATAACGTTTTTGATATGACTGATTAAATGAAGCGCGAGCGCGCCGAGCGGCATATTTCGACGAAAAAAAAGCAGCGCGATCGCGTCGTTCGGCGTTACTCGCAGATAAATGAACGAAGCGCTATCGCGGTGCATGGCACAATCCGACACGGATTTTTAAAAACCCCCGGCACTAAAACGGTTAAGGGGTTAGGCCAGTCTAGAGCCCTCAAAAAAGGCTTAACTTTGACAATTTATTCTGGGAGTAAGGAAAAAGGAATCGAATTTCTCTCTTTCAGGCTTTATTAAACATGTATTTGAGTGTATAAAAAAATTTTTATATTGACATTTTGATACAAAATGGTGGCTACTGGGCCAATTTTCGTAATCTCCTTTTTCAAGAGGGCCTCTACGGGCGACCGTGATTCTAGGAACTCGTGTTATCTGAAACAAAATAAAGAACGGGATTTAATCTACATAAGACTTGCTAGTAAAGTACGTATG